AGTGATCCTTTTGTACACAGTAATTCCTGTTGCTTCTGTGCTTTTAAAACTCCCTGCCATTGTATCCAGAGATCCATGTATGTGTATTCTAAAAAACAGAGGAACATATGAAAAAATTTCTAATACACTGGAATAAACTCCTCTGTTTACAAAAAGTGATACGAGACCTTTAGTGAGTAGGCACAGGAGACAAGATTTTGCTTCTCTGAAAAAGCTATTTGGATATCCAACTTTTTTCCCTTTTTAAAACTCCCTGCCATTGTATCCAGAGATCCATGTATGTGTATTCTAAAAAACAGAGGAACATATGAAAAAATTTCTAATACACTGGAATAAACTCCTCTGTTTACAAAAAGTGATACGAGACCTTTAGTGAGTAGGCACAGGAGACAAGATTTTGCTTCTCTGAAAAAGCTATTTGGATATCCAACTTTTTTCCCTTAGAGGCTAAGATGCATCAGCCTGCAAGGTTTTACCTCTCAAGTTTAGAGAACTATATATTCCAAACCATCATATAATTCCTGTCTCTAATTTGGCAATTTTTAAATTCAGACCTGTACCACACCCCAAATCCCAAAAGGATTTGTTGCTAAAAGCTATGCTAGTATGATTCCTGGAGTTATCATCCCAAAGCCATGCATCAGGAAACTGACATATTAATTTGCGGGGGATATTGAATTCAATGCTTACAATGGGTATTGTGGAGCCATAGGCCTGTTGCAGGGCATCTGAAGCTTAAAGGAAATAAATCACCTTCCCACCAGTGAAGCACTAAGTCATCTTCCCAATACCACTTCTCTGACACTAAATTTCCAGACCTGTGGGGAGCCCTGTTAATGAGATGACACAGCTTTGAAGGTTGGATCTTGGTCACCCCTGCAATGCCTAAATTGGCTAATATTGACCCAAAAGGATTATAGATGCTGATCATATGGCTCAATAATTTCCTGAAATATCAATTTGAAAAAAATTCTTATTTGATTTGCCGGTGTTCACAACTCTTCTGGGACTACTTGGGATAAAATTTAAAGAGACACAAAATATTCTAATGGAAAAGGTACAGGCAGGAGGATTTGAGCAAACAGCGGATTTGAAGTAAATAGAAAATACTGTGGAACTACTGAGTTTTGAACTCAACCTAAGATTTATGGTTAGCCAATCAAGAAATTGGAATAGTGCACTTGACCCACATATTCAATCAAAACAGCTTTAATCGTGAATACTCAAAAACAATAACCTAAATTGCAGAAAATAAAAAGTATTCACCAAAGCTGTATTGACTAACAAGTGAACTAGAGAATATCAAAAACACTTCTCGGAACTTAAAAAAATTATAAATTAATCTAATAAATTATTCATAGTGAATTATTTGCTGATCCCTAATTATAGAAAATAATCCTCTGTCAATAAATTGGAGGACACAAATGAGGGATAACTGGATGCTTATCCTCACAATCCCCTACGTTGAATGTGTTGCTTTAATTGCACTGGCCAGCAACCCAACTAGAAATGAGAAGGTCATTTTATCTAGGCCAACTGTGAAGATGCACTTATTTTTAATGATCCCATTCCAAACAAATACTAGAGCTCAGTTAGCTGTATTTGTTTTCTGGTTTAAAACTGTAAATATGGTCATAAATGTAAGATGATGATACTGATTTGAGTAAGTAAAACCAAAACCAAACTGGATATAAACACTGGGTGTTTTGTAGTGTACCAGAGAAGGGAAATTCTTGGTAATAAATGTAACTCAACTGGAAACATCTGTCATTGGAATAAATAATAACATTGAAGAGATGAAATATCAGCAAGATACATGTTCTAGTAACTTTTATAACTAGAGGGTGGCAGTGTGGGGAGTCTCTAACACTCCCTGAATGGAAATCGTCAGGTTCTGGCAGATGGAAATAAAACTCAATCAATGGAAGGTGTGTTTTGCACTGAGCCCAAGTACGAAGCTGTATTTAGAACCCACTGCTAGGAAGTCAGGTAGTGGACAAGAGAAACTGGGACAACAAGATAAACTCCGAATCCCTCAGATTCACAGGATGGGGACATTTTGCTTAGTGGGAAGCTGCTGAAGGAAGGTCTGGAAAGATAACAGCCGTCAGTATAGTGAGGCATCCTGAAGCTGTTGTGTTGTGCAAAGGAAATATTTGCTCTGTTCTCCAAGAAACAGAGAGGGAGGGAGTACTGTAGTGCGCAGGTTTGTTATTACCCTGAAATAGAATAGTTTTCTGATAGCATACTGTTAGGTTTACAATAATTTAGATTATTAGGAAGTATTAGCTTTACAGCTGAATACAAGGCATGACCTGTGGCCTAGCAATGCAGCTGACCACAAGGCAGATTGATAGCTAAGCCTTTGCTTGTGTCAAGTAATCATTTTAACTGTATTAAGCATTTTCTGAGTTAAAAGCAGCAAGTATCTCTGTGTCTGTGTGCTGAAAAATCAGCTACAGCAAGAAGTAAGATAAGACAGGGAAACCATTGTTCTGGGTGCACTAGTTGTGTCCTTGAGAAGTATCTACTACTGTGTAAGGTTTTGCTAACATATTATAATGTTACTGTTACTTAACTTTTAGCTTTTTAAAAAGTGCTAGTTTAGCTTAATAGAAATATGCTGTTACAAAGATTTGAAAAACACCGCCCAAGTATTGCTTTTTTTTGTTAACCATGAAGTCTTGCCTTGTTGTAATAAGTATAAAAGATCACCTCACCCTTAGGGGGGGGCCATTTTGCCTTTTGCTGGCTTTATGGTCTTTGCTCGAGCAAATAAACAGCTGTCTTTCTTTACCCGCGTTGTCTGTCAATCAAATTACAGCTAGACAACGAACCTTAGGGAGGTTTCTCCCACCACAGTACCTTTTGCATATATGTTATTATATACTGTTAGAATAACGATTCCTTTATCCATGTTGTTTCTTTTTTTTAATTATTTTTAACTTGTGTTGTTGGGATTTAAATATTAGGTCTTCCTTTGGTTCTGGTGATAACAAGTTCATCCTGTTTCACACAACTCTGGTAAAGGCAGGGAGATTACAGGCAAAGAGCACTGTGGAAGGTATCTAGCTGTCTAACCTGAGAGAGAGAGAGAGAGAGTCTACACACATATATATATATATATATATATATATATATGTGTGTAGACTCTCTCTCTCTCTCTCTCAGGTTAGACAGCTAGATACCTTCCACAGTGCTCTTTGCCTGTAATCTCCCTGCCTTTACCAGAGTTGTGTGAGCCCATAACAGATACACACATATATGTACATCCATGCAGAAAGCGTAGGGCCCGGCAGGGAGGGCACCGGGAGGGGGCGCGGGGCTGGGCCCGGCAGGACGCGGGGCCACCACCTTCCCAACATGGCGGCGGAGCCGGTGGCGCCAGAGGGCTCCAAGCCCCTGAGCGGGCTGCTGAGCGGTATCGCGCAGGCCACGTACTACGGCGCCGCCGGCATCACCGAGGAGCTGCTGCGCGGCCAGCTCTACCCCGAAGCGGCGCCCGAGGAGTTCCGCGTGCTGCTGGCCAAGCTCACGGCCGCGCTCAAGGTAGGGCCACGGCTGTCCCCGCCCCCGGCCCCTGGGCAGCCCCTGTGCCGCACGGCTGTGCGCGTGTGTATGCACGTGTGTACGCCGTCATCGGGGGTGTCTGCGTGTGCGTGCGTGCCTGTGCTGTTGGTTGTAGCCGCGTTGATCTAAGGACCTAAGCAGCAGACAAAGCTGTTTGTTTTGTGTTTTAATACGGACATCTCCCAATGCCTGACCAGGGGGGTTTGTGCTGAAAGCTTGCGAAGAAGAATTTTTCCAACTATTTAGTTGGTTTATTAAAAGATACTGTGTTTAACGGAAGAATCTTGTCTGCCTCTGTGTATGTATACACACAGGTATATAAACCTGTGTGTAAGGCACGCCCATATATATATATAGTGTGTGTGTGTGTGTGCATGTTCTAGCACAGTGGTTCTCAACCTTTTTTGTACCAGGACCCATTTGTAAACATCAATGGCCAGTCCCAACCCAGTGCCCCTCACTCCTGACCTGCTGCCACCAGCCCCCAAGCAGCCCCTCTCAGGCTGGCACTTTGCCCACCTACAAAGGAAAAGCCACCATTTCCCACGTTTTTCTCCATTAAAGGAGAATCCACTTTTAAAGTTTGTTCACAAGCCTTTCATATATTCTTGTGACCCACAGATTATAGTGTACTCAAACACACAAACGCTGTTATAGCGTACTCAAACATACAGGTTTATATATAAATCTGGGTTTCTGATAGGTTTCTATAATTATATTATTGCATAATAACTAGAGAGACTTATTTTAAGAATCTAAAGAACAATATAATATAGACATTTCAAGTGCAAACTGTGATAATCCACACCAGATGTGTGAAACATACTTGTCATCCCTGTGCTTCCCATGCCTACTCCTCACAGCTGGATGTGGACCCACTTCCAGTGGCAAGGGAAGCAGCAGTAACTGGCACATGTGCCTGAGCCATTGTGGTGGCTCAGGGTGCTGTCAAACATTAATGCTGCTGTCACTCATCCTGATGTTGCCAAAATGGGTTCCCAACTGGGATCTCTCTACCCTGAAATTCAGTGATGGTAGCCAACATAACTGAGCTGGGAGGAGGTGCAGTCATGGCAGCAGCCCCAGGCACTGTCTTTCTCAGAGGGGTGCAAAAGCAGTCAGCTACTGCAGTCTGCATGACTGGAGCAGGTGCTGTCCTCTGCATTGTGTGGCTGTCCTCAGTGCAGAGTTACCATGCTACCTATCTGATAGTGGCATTAAACCACCCTGGCTCATGGAACTGTGAGAACTAATGCCCACAAATTCCCAGCCCTTTCATGAGTCCTGTGGACCAGATGACATGGTACCAAGTGCTGGATCTGACCCAGGGGCTTGAATTATCAACATTAGAACATCTGTTTGCTGCAGGTTTATTAATTATTTCCTTTTGTCTTTGGTTTTTAAGAAGCCCAGCCAGTTCTCCATCTGTTTTACTCTGCTTTTTGCATAGAAATATCTTCTAGTAGCCCTAGTCTGTTTTTCTTCCCCACCCCCCGCCCTTCCTACTTCAGCTTTTTCTATCAACCTAATTTTAATTAGTATAATTCACTGGCTTTTTCTGGGATATTTTATGAAGTTCCTCTCTCTTTTTAGGTTGTACATGTCTTTCAGTTGTTTTAAAGTTTCATTATCAATATAATTAGTTATTTAAATGAATTTGTCTCTGATAAGTTCTTTCATCATATCTTTCCATAATATTAAGGATGATATCTTGGATAGATTGTTCTTCATATATTTACGTTTTCTTTGTTTCCTCATTATAGTTCTTTGTATTCAATTTCTATTCGTCCTCCAAGTTTTCCTATCATTGTTGATCTGTCATAAAGTAAACACTTGTTTCAGAGGACCATGATCTGAAATACTGATGGCTTCAAAGGTGCAGTTAGTAAAATTTAGTCATAGAAATCCTGCCAGTGAACACACAATCAATTTTTGAATAAGAATTTTGAGGGAATGAGAAAAAAGCATAGTTGAGGCATAAACTTCTAGAGTATAGTTGGCCACTTCTGCACACCTGCCTCAACTTCAGCTACCAAATGTACATGATTCTCAGATGTGGTGATGATTTGTCATTGACTGCACTACTGTCTGCCCACTTACCCTTTTGTGCTCCCTCAAAGGGGTGTGCCCCACAACTTGGGAAACTGGTGCAGTCTCTTCCTGTGGGGTTAAAGATCCTCCATATGTCTTTACATTTATTTACAAGTAGAAATTGTTTTGTGATAGGGCTGTGCGAGGCTTCGGACAGTGCTTCAGATCTGGAGAAGCTTCGGACACTTTGGCGTCCAAAGCAGCATGTCCGGATCGAAGCGCTGGCTTCGTCAGGCTTTCTGAAGCAGTTCAGAGCTTCATATACCCATAGGGTATAATGGGAAATCAATTAAATATCTATAACTTTGTTGGTTTTTGTCTGATTTGGATGAAATTTGCAGGGGTGATAGCCTCCGCTAAGTATGAAGCCTGCCAAGTTTCAAGAAGATTGGTACAGGGGTTGGGGAGAACTGCACCCCAAATTCTTGAAAGCAAAACTTGTGTCACGTCTATGTGTTACAATACAGGGGGGTGAAAACTGCGGGCGTGGTGGCCCCTGGTGAGGCCACAAAGCCTGCCAAGTTTCTAGGAGATAAGTGCAGGGGTTTGGGGGGAGCTGCACCCCAAATTCTTGAAAGCAAAACTCATGTCACATCTATATGTTACACCACGGGGGGGGGGGGGGGCGGTGAAAACTGCAGGGGTGGTAGCCCCTGGTGAGGCCACAGAGCCTGCCAAGTTTCTAGGAGATAAGTGCAGGGGTTTGGGGGGAAGTGTACCTCAAGCTGCTGACAAGCAAAACTCGTGACACAGATGACCCTGTGTGTATTAAGGGTAAGGGGGCTGAAAACTGCAGTGGTGGTGCCCCTGCTGCAGCCACGAAGTCTGCCAAGTTTCAAGGAGATAAGCGCAGGGGTTTGGGGGGAACTGCATCTCAAGCTGACTAACCCGACAAGCAAAACTTGTGACATTAGGTGACACTGTGTGTGTTAAGGCGTAGCAGGGTGAAAGCTGCAGGGATGGTGGCCCCTGCTGCGGCCACAAAGCCTGCTAGCTGTCGAGGAGATAGGTGCAGGGGGGTTCTGGGGCCCTGCACCCCTAGCTGCTGACAGGCAAAACTTGTGACACGGGTGTTTGTGCAGCTGTGTCTATCTTGGGGGGACAGAGACCGTCCGTCCCACAAGCACCCATGGCACGAGTTTTGCCTGTCAGCAGCCAGAGGTGCAGGGCCTCAGAACCCAGAAGCCCTGCACCTATCTCCTCAACAGCTGGCAGGCTTCATGGCCGCAGCAGGGCTGCCATCCCTGCAGCTTTCATCCTGCTGCACCTTAACACACGCAGTGTCACCCAAGTCACGAGTTTTGCTTGTCTGCAGCTTGATGTGCAATTCCCCCCAAACCCCTGCACTTATCTCCTAGAAACTTGGCAGGCTTCGTCACCTCAGTGGGGGCCAGCACCCCTGCAGTTTTCACCACTCTGAGGTGTAACACAGATGTGACATGAGTTTTGCTTTCAAGAATTTGGGGTGCAGTTCCCCCAAGCCCCTGCACCGATCCTCTTGAAACTTGGCATACTTCATGCTCTCAGCAGAGGCTACCACCCCTGCAAGTTTCATCCAGATTAGACAAAAACCAACAAAGTTATAGATATTTCATTGATTCCCCGTTACACCCTATGGCTGGATCTCCGAGGTGGTTCCGAAGCTTTGGAGCCGCTTTGGCCGGATCGAAGCGGAAACCTGGTCTGGAGCTCCGGATTGGATCCCTGGCATCCAAAGCAGCCGGATCCGAAGCCGGATCGAATAGCTGCCTACTCGCACGGCCTACTTTGTGGTTCCAGCTCCTGTATCTAACTTTCCCTTTTAGATCTATCCAGTGGCATTAATGCGCACTTTAAATCCCTATTACAACAGTTCTTTTAGGGCCTATCATGGCTTTTTATTAGAATGCATGAAGTCAAAAATTTCCAGTTTTTATTAGGAGAGCAAAAATTCACAAGACTGACTACACATTCCCTTGTGAGACTCCTAACTAAGAGGCATCTGTCTTTTTTAACTTCGTAAATTTCCTCTACTTCAAATGTTATTATTTTATTAATCCCAGTAATTATCCCTCTGTTTTTGTTGTTGTTTGATCATGGGACAGAAAATACTTATCCATTTTGCTTTAAACCTATGAATCTCTTTTCTGAAAGTATCTACTGCAGTGATTCTTAACCAACTTAGACTCAAGATACCCCTCGGAAAGTGCCAGTTCTTTCGCTTTTTTTTTTTTACTACAGAAAAATAATAGCTAACTTAGAAAGACCATAACAGTCGCAACATTTTTAACACTATGGATTCCTATTTTAAATCTCTGGGTTTATCTTGTGAATCTTGCACACTTAACACTACATGCTGCCTGGGCACGTTATTTGGGCGCACTGGTCTGTTGCAAAATAGTATCCTAGCCAGCCCGTGTCTCTTGTCCCAGGTTCACCTCTATTTTTTTCCATAAGAGAAGGACTTGTGGAGCTGGGAAGAAGTTAACAGAAGCCCTTTAAAATGGTTTTTGGACTTGCCGTCACTGTTTTTTCCATCTTATCTTCAATAAAGACTAGTGGGATGAGTGAAAATGCAGGTTTAATATTGTTAATGTGATTATTTTAAGCAGGGCTTGTGCGAGCACAGGGAAAGCACATTTGCTACTGGAGTGTGCTCAGTAGTGCCCCATTCTTGTAGCCTTTGTTAAAAAGGAAACGTGCCTGACATACATGCCTTGATTCATTTTACACTGGTTCACTGTAGTGCTTTATAAGAAGTATCAGTCTTGGCAAGACTGTTAGCCTCAAATAGGATTATGTTCTCCCTTTTGGAGACTTTAAGTTGCCTAGAATTTTGATGAGAACAGTAATAACAGTTAAATTAACAAATTGCCTAGGGTTGTGACATTTTTCCCAGAAGCCCTTGC